CTCCAGGCTGGAGTGCAGTGGTGTGATGTTGGCTCACTGCAACCTCCATTTCCAAGATTAAAGTCATTCACGTGCTTCAACTTCTTGAACAGCTGGAATTACAGGTGCCTGCTGCCACACCTGGCTAATTTTTGTATTTTTAATAGAGATGGGGTTTCACCATGTTGGCCAGGCTGGTCCTGAACTCCTGACCTCAAATGATCCACCCGCCTCAACCTCCCAAAGTGCTGGGATTAGAGGCGTGAGCTACCGTGCCTGGTCAGTTCCCGTGGTTTAGATGGGGAGAGAGGCCATGGTGGTTTTGTTCATGGGTTTAATTGCACTAAGCCTATGTTCCTAAGATAGGGCTGTGTCTATTCCTCACTCCTGCTCCAGTCACGTGTCTCCCTCCTTCTCTCTGAGACCGCTTGGAGCCCCTATAGCCTTTCTCCGGGTCCTGGGGAGAGGCAAAGTGAAGGTCAGCTTGTGGTTAGCATCAGTCATAGGTGATAGGAGTGGCTTGGAGTCAGTTCAGTGAGAGTCCTCCAGGAGGTGGACCTTTGCCTCCAGCTGTTTTTGAGAGGCAACAATCGCACTTGAGGCCTCAGTCTAGAGCCCACTGAACAGTGGACAAAGTACCTTCTTATCTTCACAGCTACCTGTGAAGGTTAGCATCATCAACCCCCACCCCGCCCCCACCACCACAATTTTAGAAATGAGGAAGGGTTGGCCAGGCACGGTGGCTCACACCTGTAATCCCAGCACTTTGGAAGGCCGAGGCGGGTGGATCACTTGAGGTCAGGAGTTTGAGGCTAGCCTGGCCAACACAGTGAGACCCGTCTCTACTAAAAATACAAAAATTAGCTGGGTGTGGTGGCGGACGCCTGTAACCCTAGCTACTTGGGAGGCTGAGGCATGAGAATTGCTTGAACCCAGGAGGTGGAGTTTGCAGTGAGCTGAGATTGTGCACTCCAGCCTGGGTGACAGAGGAAGACTGTCTGGAAAAAAAAAAAAAAAAAAGAAATGAGGAAGGCTGAAGAGAGAGGAAGTGACTTGTCCAAAGGCCATATAGTAAGTACGTGGCAGGGCCAGGTGTAGTGGCTCACATCTGTAATTGTAGCACTTTGGGAGGCCAAGTCAGGAGGATCGCTTGAGCCCAAGAGCTTGAGGCTGCAGTGAACTACGATTGCACCACTGTACTCCAGCCACAGTGACAGAGCGAGACCCTGTCTCTTAAAATAAGTCAATAAGTAGGTGGCAGGACTGTGCTGAGAACTGTGGTCTGCTTGTCTCCAAAAATACCTGCCTGTTCTGTATGTGCCATGCTGCTTTGGTGGGAAGTCATATAAGTGTGTTCCCTGTTCCTCAGAAGCATCTGAAAGCACCTCTCATGTTACAGTCCAGCTTTCCCTGAGTGTCTTGGTACCGGGCTGTCATCCAAGTTCAAATGCTGGTGATAGAACTGACCAGGGCCAAAGGCCAGCCTCCCTTCTAATCAGGAATAATCAGCAATGAGTTTATCCTTCTCATCCCTCTGATCCTATTATTCCATTCTAGCACTCAAAGTAGGGCTTCCGGAGGCCCAAGGGCGGCTGCCACAGTGGATAGAGATGGGAGGTGGGGGCATACAACATGCTTCACTCCTTATAGGAAGCCCCCACCGTTCAGCCTTTTGTGTTTTTTGTTTTGTTTTGTTTTGTTTTTAAGAGACAAGGTCTTGCTCTGTCACCCAGGCTGGAGTGCAGGATACAATCATAGCTCACTGCAGCCTCAAACTCCTGGGCTCAAGTGATCCTCCTGCCCCAGCTTCCTGAGTATCTATGACTAGGGGCACAGCCGCCATGCCTGGCTAATTTTAAAATTTTTAATAGAGATGGGGTCTTGCTATGTTGCCCAGGCTGGTCTTGAACTCCTGGCCTCAAATGATCCTCCCACCTCAGCCTCTCGAAGTGCTGGGATTACAGGCATAAGCTGCCATACCCAGCTGTTCAGCCCTTTTAAAATTTCCTACTGAAGGCTGAGCCATCTGTCCCTCCTGTCTACCTGCCCAGCTCAAGTTAGCTTAAGTAAGCTTTAAAGCACATCGAAATCCCTGGATTCCTTGCTATCCTCAAACCTCAAACTAGTATCAGCTCCTGCACCTGCCTCCAAAGCAGGATGGGATTTCTTCAAAGTGTGTGATTTTTTCATAGGGGCATGGTTTTGCCAGCTCCTGTCTCCTTTTTGCAAGGACAGAGGCAAATCCCCAGGTCGACAAGTGGGTGCTATGCCCGAACTGGCCTGCAGGGGGCAGTAACCACCAGATTTGACTGAGTTGATGCCCTGCTGAACAAATGGATGCCACACTTGGTCCTTTAAGACCAATGCTGGGCAGGGGAAGAGGGTGCTTTCTAGATGCTTGGCACGGTGCCAAGCCCTTTGCATGTATTATCTCATTAGCTCCTCACAAGAGCCCTGTGGGAGGTGCTATTAGAATCCCTATTTTATAAATGAAGAAACTGAAGCCGAGAAAGATCAACATGTCCTCTAGGCCACACGGTTACTAAGCAGCAGACAAGTTTTTTTTTTTTTTTTTTAAATAGAGACGAGGTCTCACTATGTTGTCCAGGCTGGTCTCGAACTCCTGGGCTTAATGATCTTCCCGCCTTGGCCTCCAAGGATTACAGATGTGAGCCACTATGCCTGGCTGGAGTGCAATGACATGATCTTGGCTCACTGCAGTCTCCGCCTCCCGGGTTCAAGGGATTCTCCTGCCTCAGCCTCCCGAGTAACGGGGACTGCAGGCACCTGCCACCACGTCCAGCTAACTTTTTTTTTTTTTTTTAGTAGAGACAAGGTTTCACCATGTTGGGCAGGCTGGCCTCAAACTCCTGACTTCAAGTGATCCACCTGCCTATGCCTCCCAAAGTTCTGGGATTACAGGCGTGAGCCACCACGCCCCGCCCCAAGCTCTTAGCCTCCACATCAGTGCTTCCCAACACCGGCTACAGGTTAGAATTACCTGGGAGTACTAGGCAACACCAGTGTCCAGTGCCCATCAAAGACAGAATTAAGTCAGAATTTCTGGGGAAGCTCCCCAGTCATGCCAGTCTACAGCCAGCATTGAGAATCTCTGCTTTACACTGTGCTGTTTTGGCCTTTATATATATCCACCCATTCACACCTGGACCTTAACCTGAGCGTCCCTCTGAGGTCCCTAGTGAGCACTATTGTTTCAAAGGAGCCTACATATGGTCTATTCTCTAGATTTTGCCTGCAAGTCTTTCCTGATCCCCTAGACTCAGACAGATTCCCCTCATTCACATTCTCAGAGTTTTGGTGTTTTCCCTTCATAGCATTTATCTGAAATGTAATCAGATAACTGTGTCCCAGCTCTAATATCTCCTGCCCACCTGCTAGAACGTAAGCGTCCTGAAATCAGGAACTGTGTTTCTCTTATCCCCCCACAACGTTCCCAGAGCCAAGCACGGCATCTGACATTTCTCCATTGGACAAATGATACTTCTTTCTTCCATGTAAATAATTACTGATCCAGTAGCTATTCGGTGTCTCACACTTTCCCATGTATGCTATATAAGCAAGCTAGGGAAGGCCCCATTTTCCAGTGGAGGAAACTGAAGTTCAGGAATGGGAGACAGCCACCACCCAGTCAGAAGCTGGTAGTGCTGGGCGCCGGGGCTCCCGCCTGGAATCCCAGCACTTTGGGAGGCCAAGGCAGGTGGATCACCTGAGGTCAGGAGTTCAAGAGCAGACTGTCCAACGTGGCAAAACCCCGTCTCTACTATAAATACAAAAATTAGCCAGGCATGATGGTGTGTGCCTGTAATCCCAGCTACTCAGGAGGCTGAGCCAGAAGAATCGCTTGAACCCAGGAGGCAGAGGTTGCAGTGAACCGAGATTGCGGCACTGCACTCCAGCCTGGGCAACAGAGCAAGACACTGTCATTAAAAAAAAAAAAAAAGATAAGCTGGCAGAGCCAGACTCAATCCTAGGCCTCCCTGTCCTTCCCATTCATCGGAGTCTGCTGACCCCTGCTTGAGTCTGCTTCCTTCATGCTGTTTCCAGGAGACACGCATCATCACCCTCTTTTCTGTTCTTTAGTCATCAATACCCGCCCCCCAGTCTCCTCCTCCTCCATCTCCCCCTCCAGAGGTTTGGCCCAAACAAGGCTGCTGAGTAACTCCCCTGATTAAACCATTGCGTGGCTCTCAGCAGCCGCACTGGGGAGGTCAAGGAGTCATCCAGGGACCTCCTTCCCAGCTCCCTAGGAGTGAGCACCCTCTGGGCAGCGCCCCCACCCATCTTCCTAACAGGAGTTCTGAGCAGCCACCCCACACGGGACAAAAGTTCCTGGGAAAGGAGATTCTCCGGGCTGAAAACTGAGCTAGCGTGCAAGAATCGGCTGCATCGGGGGCCTGGGAGGAGTTCGGCTTCCAGTCTATCTCTGGTGCCCCCTGCTGGAGAAAGCTGGGTGCAGGAAACAGGGATACTTGCACTCGGGGAATCTGGCTGGGGCTGTAGGTCTCAAACAGGACATCTGAGGAGTGAGATGAATTCATATCAAAACCGACCCTGGAGGGACGAGGAAGAGCCAGTCACCTAAAAAGCTCCAGCTGTGTGACCTCGAAGAGCGCTTCGTAAAGGGCTTCTTCTCTGCTCGGCACCCCAAGGAAGCTGGGGAGAAGTCTTTGCTCTGGATGAGGCAGGGGGCGAGAAGGAGGAGGTTCAGAGACCTTTTGTTCATGCCCTCTCTGCCTGCGCTGCCTCCGTCGTGCTCCCCTCAGCACCATCTCCTGGTTTCCTTTGGGTCGGAGATATTGCACACAGAGCAGAAGGATCTGATCTGACTGTTGGCTCATCTGCACTGCCAGCCCCCGAGCCTCGTCCCATTTCAGTGACAAGGCAAGTGTGAAAAATGGAGCATGATGGAGACGTCACCAGACCTCCCAGGCTCCGGACTGGAGCCGCAGCTCTCAATGCAGCTGGAATTGCCAGGGGCAGTGAGTGCTTGTCCAGCTTACTGCTCTTTGGAAGGGGCATACATCTCCCTGAGTGCTTGTGTGTGCATGCATGTGTGTGTGTGTGTTTGTGCGCATATGTGTGTGTGTGCATGCACGTGTGTGTGCGCGCGCATACAAGGCTGGGAGCTGTGCGGCAGGCACCCTGGCTTCGGGGACCCAAACTAGCCAGCTTCCCTTTCTGGGCCTGCTGGCCTAATTCCCAGCCGCAGCTGCCATTCTGGGCCCCCCCTCCCTGAGGCCATCTCCCTGCAGATTTGGCAGCGGGGAAAGGAGGGGCCGAGAGAAGGGGAGAGAACCAGAGAGAGGACTGAGTGCTAATCTGATGTAGATGATCCGGCAGCCTTCTCCAGCTTGGCTGCCCTCTGCCATCAGCTCTCCAGGTGATTTTCCCTGTGCCCTGCACTCTCCCCTTCTGCTTTCATCTCCTTAAGAAAGTGCCCAGAGAGTTAAACCCACACACAAACACACACAATCCACCCAAAAAAAAAAAAATCAGAGAGCAGGAGCAGGCAGACGAGTAAGAGAGCACGCGCGCAAGAGAGGGCTCACATCCGTCCTGGAGGAAGAACGGCACAGACGGAGGGAGGCTGGGGTTGGCAGAGACTGGGACAGAAGTCCCTCAGCCCCCCAGGAGCCTCCTTCATGGACCCGGGAATCCCAAGAGGGGCTGCCTCAACTTAGGATGGGCAACTGTGTCAAGTCTCCACTGAGAAATCTCTCAAGGAAGGTATGTTTCTGGAGTTTCCAAGATCTGGGGCTGGGGATTGGGGGTGTCTTACCATCTGTCCCAGAGGTTGGGGACAGAAAGGGTGGCTGGAGCTTGCTACCCTTCCCAGGGGTTCTGTCCAGGGCTGCCTCCCTGCTCCTACCCCGGACACCCTCCTGCTGCCGTTTTCTGTGTCCAGGCTTTGGGCATGGGGGTGAGGGTGAAACTGTGTTTGGGAATTTATACAAGGCTTGGGAAAGAAACTGTGTAACTTTGGGGTTTCTGGGGTGTAAAATGAAAAGGGTGGAACCTTAAGATGTCAGTGAACTTGACTGGCACCTTAGTCATTCAAGGGACTGGCCAAGTTCCTTAAAACTGGCGAAATCTGAAGACCCTTCCCAGCAGCAAGGCCAGGGACTCATTCATATCCTTTGAGGGTCTGTGAGCCTCTCTGATGACCTCTAAGCCTTCAGAATTGTGGATTTTGAAGTAGATCTCATTGCTACTGAAAGGAACCAAACAGAGTATATCCCCTTCTGCCCCAGTGATTCTTGAGTTAAGTCAGAGCATCTCAAACAGGACCCGAGTTGTTTTAGGGCCCAGGAGTTTTTCCATTAAGAAGGAGGCTGCCTGGGTGATGTGTTGAGCAGGGGTTGTATATAAGTCACTTTCTGTAGTGGCTTTATCGCTCATACACTTGGAATTTTTTTTTTTTTTTTTGCAAAAATTCCTTTTAGAAAGAAAATGATCATCTCTAAAGCATCTTTCATGCAAGGCTGGGTTTGCACCTATAGGGTTTTGGGTTAGGTGGGCTCTGCCTATTTTTCTAGCCCTCTGTAGCCAGGCCATAGAAGAGACTCAGATATTATTTAAAGGAAGAGGGAATGATGGGGTGGTTTTCTTCCAATTCTTCCATTTTCCAGAAAAGGAACTTCAATGACATTCAGAGGGAGGGGTTAAGTGACTTACCTGTGGCCTCGGGTGAGCTATTGGCGTCTCTATCCCCAACCCCATCCTATCTCGGTCAGTTTAACAGCCTCTCAATTTAGGACATTTTGGGCTTTTCTGCTTGTCGTCTTCCTCATTTGGCTAAGCTGCTCACATCAAATTCCTTCTAATCTTTGCTGCTCCTTGGATCCTTCCAAGGGCTTGTTGTTTCTTCCATGCACACCTCCCCCATAATCTGGTGTCTTCTTGGGGGAGCCTTCTGCATCGGAAGTGGCCTCCGCGCTGTTCCAGAGAAGCAGAAAGTGATCCGAATTAGCCCTTGTAATAGGTTCCATCCAGAGCCTGAGAAAGTGAACTTAAGAACAAGAATCATTCTTCTGTCCCCCCCATCCTCCCTTACACAACAATGTGCTTAAGAGTCAGACTACACAGGCCTCCTCTTTCTGGCCATGTGACCTTAGACAAATTACTTAACCTCTCTGTTCCTTGATTCCCTTGTCCATCCATCAGTTGGGCACACTAATATCCACCTCTTAAAGTGATTCTGAAAATGAAATAAAGTTCTGTGCACAGTGGCTGGCCTATAATAGTCAATAAATGTTAGTATTCTTGTTATCATAATCATAATTGTTCCACTCTGGGTTTTAGAGAAGAGGGATGGAGGAGAAACAGGAAATAGGAGAGATTTTCAGTCCATAGAGTAAAAGAGAAAAAAACTTACTGCATTCAATTTCATGTTTCTATCATATTCTTAATAATTGCTTTTTTTTTTCTAAATATCTACAACATACCTAATGCCTGTTATCTCATTTTCTCTTTTCCACTACATAGTCATTTTGGCTATTTTATAGAGAAAGAAGCTGGACTCAGAGATAGAGCCTTCCTAAGGTTACACAGTCGATAGGAAGCAGAGCTGGGATTTAAACCCTAGTCTGTATAAAATCAGAGCTGGCATTTTATTTTTATGTTTTCCTCTACGAGAGGCTGCCTCTCTCTTTCCCCTGCTGTCAGAAATGTTATTCATAGATTTCTGGATCTGACCTTAGAAGTCATCTAGTCCAAATTCCCGCTCAGTGCATCAGTCCCCTCCCCGCTCACCAGGCTCTCCCTCATTCAGCTTCTCCTTGAAGACCTTCATTCAGCGAGAGGGAGCTTTGACGTACATACTCTTGGCCAGCTTGTGTTATTAGAAAGCTGTCAGGTCATGAGGCACGCTTGCCCCTCCTGTTGCTATGCCACACTTAGGAGACGTCACCTTGGTGCCAGGAGAAATTGTCTGTCCATGGGCCGCTGCCCACTTGGCTTCCTGAGCCGTATTTGGGGAACTGGAAATGGTGAGAGGCAGCCTGCACCAGGCTCAGAGCTGGGCAGGACCAGGCTGTCAGGTGCCATCATTGGCGAGAGATGAATTGCAGCCTCTGGGGCAACTTGGTGCCAGGCAGTATTATGATCAAGAGATGCAGTGGAAATTCCCCAGCCACCACTGCTCCATTCTTCATGGGAGCAAATTCCTCTCCATCCTTCTCATTTCTTCCTGATTGGCAGATGCTCCCCCACTTCCTTTGCAGCCAGAAGTAAATGCCTTCTGGCACCCAATATCTCTTAAATTACATCACTACCACCACCATCATCATCGCCATCATTGCCATCACTATGGCAACTCTATTTATTCACCTCCTCTTGCCATGCCCTAGCCACCATGCGGAGCACTTGATGTGTATAACTCATTTACTTGTCACAGGAATCCTGTGACTAGTCATGATCGTCTCCCACGGTATGGAGAAGGAAACTGGAGCACAGAGAGGTGAAATGACCTGCCCAAGGTCACACAGCAAGCAAGTGGCAGAGCCAGAATTTGTCCCTAAGACTGTTTGAGCCCAAAGCCAGCAGACTAAACTGCCTTTTAAAGTTTTTGTTTGTTTGTTTTGTTTGTTTTGAGATGGAGTCTCGCTCGGTCGCCCAGGCTGGAGTGCAGTGGTGCATCTGGGTTCACTGAAACCTCCGCCTCCTGGGTTCAGTGATTCTCCTGCCTCAGCCTCCCAAGTAGCTGGGATTATAGGCGCCCGCCACCACACCCAGCTAATTTTTGTATTTTTAGTAGAGATGGGGTTTCACCATGTTGGCAGGCTGGTCTTGAACTCCTAACCTCAGGTGATCCACCCGCCTCGGCCTCCCAAAGTGCTGGGATGACAGGCGTGAGCCGCCGCGCCCGGCCTGCCTCTCGGAGTTCTGTGCCACCTGCTGCCTCCCCACCTTCCTGGGTTATGCCATCTCTGAGCCAAGTGCAGAAGATTCAGCCAGAAACAAAAACGCTGACTCTCTGCAGACACCTGAGACTGGTTCCTGGGTTCAGCCAGTCACTGTCATCTCAGGCATGCTTTGATCCACTATCCCAGACGGGAAGGTCTCTTGTTCTGCCTCGCTCTAGTCTTGTCTTGCTCTAGTCTAGGTCCCAGAAGTCTGAGTGAGTGAAGCCGAGGCTCTGAATCACAACTGTTTGGGATATCAAACCGGGGGGGGGCCCTCGGCCTGTCTGACATCCCTTAAGTTCTGGGATCACCTAAAATGGACATTTATGGCACTCATCGAACTTGGCCCTGGGACTGAGTTCCTTCACCTCCAGCCTGAGAAGCTGCTTCCCCTTTGAGGAACCAGAATACTGCACCACCCTCTCTAGGCCTGGAAGGGGCTTAGGAAGATGGAAGGGAGCCTCGGTCTGTAGCCCCATAGGGCTTTGGGGAGAGGAAGCAGAGAGGACATGGTGGGCAGGGGCCTGTTCTGCGTCTCAGCCTGGAAGGACAGGCTGCCCCTAGGTTTTGGGATGTTCTCCTAGGCAGGGCCTTCTTTGCCTTGGAGGAATCTGGCTGCAAGTAGAATGCAGTAGGATGGAAGGATAGGGTGCGCAGACCTGCAGTTCTCAGACAAAGACAGCCCTCAGGGTTTCAGCTCCCGTCGCTCCTTGGGAAGGTCCTACTCTAGCCAAATCCCCCCACACTGAAGGAAGTTATGCCGGCTCCAGGCTGAAGGCAGAGTGCAGGAGCTGGATTCTGGAGAGGCACTGGGCATCCCGGGAGGTCGGGGCGAACTGAATGTTGTGTCTGGATGCTGCTGTTGTCCTAAGGGGAAGGTCTGTGGGCAGTGCTGACTTTTTATAGCTGCATGGGAACCTTCAGGGCGGAGGACCGGCTGGTCAGGGCCTGGGAGCACAGCTATATTAGGTAAGCAGAGAAGGCCCCTGCCTTAGCCTCTAGAGGTCCGGCACTCTGGGCCAGGCAGGGAGCCAGGGAAGGCGGGAGGGAGGAAAAGAACTGGTGGATGGCAGAGAATATCTAGTCTTGAAATCACAAACTGGGTGGAATCCTACCTACAGCTGTGCCTTGTGTGGCCCACCCAGTGCTTTAAATCAGATCTGGTTACACTGGGCTGGAGTTAAGTAGTGCTACCTCTTCAGAGGTGGCACCATCTCAGGCTAGGTGCAGTGGCTGATGCCTGTAATCCCAGCACTTTGGGAGGCTGAAGCAGGAGGATCACCTGAGGTCAGGAGTTTGAGACCAGCCTGGCCAACATGGTGAAATCCCATGTCTACTGAAAATACAAAAAAAAATTAGCCAGTATGGTGGCGAGTGCCTGTAAACCTAGCTACTCGGGAGGCTGAGGCAGGAGAATCACTTGAATCTGGGAGTCAGAGGTTGCAGTGAGCCGAGATCACACCACTGCACTCCAGCCTGGGTGACAGAGTGCACTAGCCACCAAAAAAGAAAAAAAAAAGGAGGGGGCACCGTCTCCACTTTGCCCCAGTCCCCCCCCTCACACCCTGCCTGCTTCATTTATGTCAGCAATGACACCTGCGTGTGCAATCTCCGGTCTGGCAGACCAGCCGAGCCTGGTCTCCATGCTGCCAGCTCCGATTGCCCTCACAGCCTTCCAGCGGGGATCTGGCTGGGGTAGGGCAAGTCCGTTTGGGAGCTGGGAGGAATGACTTAGCCCTGGAGATTGATTGAACTGGGATGTTGGGAGCATTTTGGAAAAGGATGTTGTTTCACTAGGCTCTGAGTGAACACTTGCCATTGATGAGAATAGAAGCCCCCCGCTGCTCCTGTCTCTTCATGCACATGGGTGTGTGAGTCTGTGCATATGTGTGTGCCTGTGTGTGTGTGTGTTTGCGCACGTGCGCATGTGCCACACAGAGGCCATCACACTCAGCTCTCGCCGGAACCACCATTTCTGTCAAGGATTGGAGACTCCGTCTCTTGGACCAATTTGATGCCTGTGCACGCTCAGGGCTCTCTGAGCCCCACTCCTTGACTCTCAGGGTCCCCTCTTGCGGAAAGCCCCTCCCGGGACCAGGAGCCAGGCTGGGCAGGGAGGTGACAACCTGCCTCTCTTTTGCATTTGCTTGGTGTTGGCTGAAGATGTGCCAGGAGGAACAGACCAGCTACATGGTGGTGCAGACGAGCGAGGAGGGGCTGGCGGCCGACACCGAGCTCCCAGGACCGCTCCTGATGCTGGCCCAGAACTGCGCAGTCATGCACAACCTGCTGGGCCCTGCCTGCATTTTCCTGCGCAAGGGCTTCGCTGAGAACAGGCAGCCTGTACGTAAGTTGGCCCAGTGGAGCCCGCTGAACTCGGCTTCACAGGGCGTGAGGAGGTGCTGGGAAGAAGAAGGAGTCTATACAGAGCTCACACCCCCAACTTGTGAATCTGATCCCCAGAGTTTTCCACTCATGGCTACAAAGTGCTGGTGAGTCCATATCCACCAGCAGAATCATAATAATAAAAAGAATATCAGATACATTGTTACGAGCACTTACTAGGTGAGCCCTGTGCCTAGTGTGTTGGCGGACTGCCTCATTTAAGCCTCAGAGCAACTCTAAGGGGTAGGTGCTTTTATCGCCCCCATTTTACAGATGAGAAAACTCACTTGGGCTGGGCACAGTGGCTCACACCTGTAATCCCAGCACTTTGGGAGGCCTAGGTGGGTGGATCACTTGAGGTCAGGAGTTTGAGACCAGCCTGGCCAACATGGTGAAAGCCCATCTCTACTAAAATACAAAAATTAGCTGGGCGTGGTGGTGCATGCCTGTAATCCCAACTACTCGGGAGGCTGAGGCAGGAGAATCGCTTGAACCCAGGAGGCAGAGGTTGCAGTGAGCCAAGATCGCGCCACTGCACTCCAGCCTGGGCAGCACAGTGAGACTCCATCAAAAAACAAAAGAAAGAAAGAGAAAGAAAACCGACTTGCAGAGGTCACATCCTCAAGGTAACAGCTTGGTGGTGGTAGAGGTAGGGTTCACACTTGGATAGTCTGACTCAAGAACCTCTAGTGCTCCTAACGACAACTCTGTATACGTGGCACTATCCGGTAGAACTTTCTACAATGATGGAAATATTCTAAATTCCGTGCTGTCTGATACAGTAGCCACTAGCCACATGTGGCTATTGACCACTTGAAATGTGGCTAGTGCAACTAAGGAACTGAATTATGGATTTTATGTTATTCTTACTCAAATTTACATAGCCACATGTGGCTAGCGGCTACTGAATTGGCCAGCTTTCTACAAGTAGCTAAATAGTTCAAAGAGAGGAGAGGACTAATGAGGATGTTATAGAGGTAAATATTTGTAGGTTGCATTTATTGAATGCCACATGCTAAACATTTTAATAGCTTGTCTCACTGAATGCACACTAAGGCCCTGTGAGGTGGGAAATGGTATTAACCCATTTTACAGATGAGGAAACTGTGGCTCAAACAACAGAGTGACCTGCCTGAGGAAGCAGATCTGAGCTTCATACTCAGGTCTGTCTGCCTCTAGGGCCCAAGGGTGTCCCCCCAACCACATGAATTGGGGAGAAATGCATGTTCCTGCACCGCATTCCCACCTGACCCTGAGTTGCTGCACGTGATCTTCCTGGCACATTAGTGGGCATCCCTGGCTCTACTCCAGGGCAGAGAACACACATTGCTACTGCTGTGCCCGGGGAGTGTGATCCGAGGACCAGCTGTCAGTGCTCAGCAGACCAGCTCTGGTGGCGGGCACAGCCCGTGAAGGGGCACCCAGCTTTGCTGCCCCCTGGGCTCTGGGTGTACAGGAGGAACGGAAGGGGCTGCGATGGAGTCAGCAATGCCTGTTCCTCCTGAGTCCTGAGAACTGGGCCCTGGAGAAGTGGGAGGCTGCTTAAAGCCCGATGCGTGGGGTCCTCGGGGGTGTGCTCTGCACGTATGTGTACACACGTGCTTACTCGCTCACTTTCACTGACTGCTGGGATGACCCGTTGCACAAAACATCCTTTTTGGATGGTTTTTCCAACACATATGGGTTTGTGTTGGAATGACTGCGACCTACCCTTGAGCCAGGCACCATGACCAGCTTTTTTGTTTGTTTGTTTTTGAGACAGAGTCTGACTCTCTTGCCCAGGCTGAAGTTCAGTGGTACAATCTTGGCTCACTGCAATCTCCGCCTCCCAAGCTCAAGTGATTCTCCTGCCTCAGCCTCCCGAGTAGCTGGGACAACAGGCATGCACCACCATGCTTGGCTAACTAAAACAGGTGTTTTTTTTTTTGTAGAGATGAGGTCTCACTATATCGCCCAGGCTGGTCTCGAACTCCTGGTTTCAAGTGATCCTCTTGCCTTGGCCTCCCAAAGTGCTAGGATTACAGGCGTGGGCCACCGCGCCTGGCCCATGGCGAACTTTATAGGCGAAGGTCCATGCAGTCATCTCAGAGACACGCCTCCCTTCGGGTGACTCCTACCCCCAGCCTGGCGGAGCTGGGAGCTTGCAGTCTGCTCCCTCCAAGGTCACACACACTCTCAACGCTGTCCTGCCACACAGAGCCACCTCTGAGCTCTTGGTCCTATGCACCTGGTTGTCCCATGAGATGTGACTCAGCAGCCCTTCCCTTTCTAGATGATCTGCAGATTTTCTGGTGTTGTCTTTTGTCCTGGGGCCAGTTTGGAGTGACTGTCTCCACCCACCCTGGCCCCGTTGGCTGGAACGTCCTGCATGCACAGTGGAGGTGCCACACGCTCACTATGGCATGCCCGCATGTCTGTGTTCACGAGAGGTATGCCCACAGCTGTGCGAGCCTCTTCAGGATGGGCACACCTGCCTGGTGTTCTCCCTGCCCAAAGGCAGAGAGCTGCAACACGGGGGAGGCTGGACGCTGAAGGCCACTTTTAGAGTGTACTAACCAGGTCCAACTGGGCACCTGTACCCATTTCATGCCCGTCTGTCTCCCTCCTGGGCAGGCCTGGGACAACTGGCACCTCACCAACCTGAGCTTCCTCCAGGCCTGCTCCTCGGAGGTGTCTCTGCCATCTGTTCTGACGCCTGGATTCGGGGTTGCCTTGATTGCCCAGGAGACCTGGGCACTACTTGAGGTTGGAGACATGTGCTTTTTGGACCCTGGCTGCAGCCAGAAGCACTGGTGGCCCCTGGGGTCCTATATGGTGTCCTGTGACAGGGCAACGTATAGGGATGGGGCTCAAATTGGAGAAGGTGGGGCAGTGCCTGGGAAGCAGGCACAGCCCCATTCTGCTGCCACGTCTCCTCCTGATTCCTCCCTGTCCTCCTACCCCCACTTCAGGATGGCCCGGCCTTCTCTCCCCTCCGGCGCCTCATCTGTTGTCTTGCAGCCTCTGTCGCCCTGCTCTTCCTGTTTCGTTGGGTGGTGCTCTCTTCTCCCTGTTGTGGCCTCCCTGGACCCTGTTTTATTTGCAGGTTTTTGCCACCAGACCAACTCTGTTCCCTGACTCATTCTTTTTTTTTTTTTTTTTTGGAGACAGGGTCTCACTCTGTTGCCCAGGGTGACAGAGTGCCATGGTACCATCACAGCTCACTACAGCCTCAAACTCCTGCTCATCCATTCTTGTATCTGGAACAAGGGGCTGGAGGCACAGAGGTTCTGTGCCCAGGCTGGTGGGGCTGGTGGCTCCTTGGGAATCTCTTGTTAGCGGTCCAGGAGCTTCCATGTCTAAGCAAGATGTGGGGCTTTCTTTTCCCCTCAAGGATCCGATCCAGGCACACTTCTGCTGCATCCTCGTCACCTCCTACCCAGTGCCTGCTGCCAGTTGGATGGCCCCCAGGTTAGATATTTTGTGACTTCCAGGTCCCTTGTCGCGGCTAATAGGACATGTTCTTTTGTTTCAGGATAGATCACTGCGACCAGAGGAAATCGAAGGTAAAACTTGGCCCCTTGGGGGAAAGGACTGCCTAACCCTCCATGAAGGTGTGGGAAGGGAGGTTGATGGGAAGAGAGGCCCCTGGGAACGGGCTATCTTCTGTGAAACCAGCTGCTGAAGGTGTGCACAGAAGGCAAGAGAAATACCCCAGCATCCTGGGAAGCTCCTGGGCCCCTCTTTCCACGCTGGTGGGCCTTTGGGCTGCCTTTGCCCACAGAGGATCTGCAGGTCCTACCCCCAATGACATCCACCTTTGCTCACTTCCCCAGAGCTCCGAGAGGCCTTCAGAGAATTCGACAAGGACAAGGATGGCTACATCAACTGCCGGGACCTGGGCAACTGCATGCGCACCATGGGCTACATGCCCACTGAGATGGAGCTCATCGAACTGTCCCAGCAGATCAACATGAACCGTGAGTCCCTCTACCAGGCACCTGTGTCCCTTCCGGTCCTCACCCTTGCTGTCCTCTGCAGTCAGACAGGACTGGCTTCAAATTCTGCATCCACCTCTTTCCAGCTCTGTGATCTGGGGCCAACGACTTACCCTCTCTGAGCCTCAGTTTCCTCACCTGTAAAATGAGGGCCGAATTGGAGGAGTGGAGCCCAGAAAGTAGATTAGGGAATATCTGTAAAACAGCCTAGTAACTGGCTCACAGGAAGAACTGAACAGAGGGCTCCTGTTATTATTAAGTTTTTCTCTGTCTGATGAGCAGTTCAAGGAGGGGTTGCCCATTCTGTCAGTTGTCTACTTGGAGACAGGGAATGGGTATTATCGGGGATGACCTAGCCCTTTCCTCTTTTTCCAGTGGGTGGCCACGTAGATTTTGATGACTTCGTGGAGCTAATGGGGCCTAAACTCCTGGCAGAGACAGCAGATATGATTGGTGTAAAGGAACTGCGAGATGCTTTCCGAGAGGTAACGGGCAGAGGCAGGCAGGCATGGGGGCAGCTATTGGAATCTTATCTGCAGGATAAATACTTCAAAAGAAGCCTGAGCCCCAAGTCCCAGATCAGGGGAGGGAGCTTGGGCAGAGAAAGGTCTCTGGTAAAGGGGGAAATGACACTGGAGAAGGAGCTCAACTTTGGGGCCTGATGCTGCCAATCGCCATGTTGGGGCGACCTCTCCTTCCTTCCTGCCTTCTCTAGTTTGACACCAATGGTGATGGGGAAATAAGCACCAGTGAGTTGCGAGAGGCTATGAGGAAGCTCCTGGGCCATCAGGTGGGACACCGAGACATAGAGGAAATTATCCGAGATGTGGACCTCAATGGGGATGGACGAGTGGACTTTGAAGGTAGGTGGGGCTTGAAAGTGGGAGAGAAGCAAGCCAGCAGTGGCCATCCGTGGAGCCCTCCGATTGTGTATCCATCATGTAACCTATCAATCCACTCTAACTTTCCAACCCCCAGCCCTTTCATCCTCCTATCCCTCCACCCACGCCCCGCTCTAATCCACCTCCCATTCCTTCCCCATGCATCTCTTCATGCATCTATCCATCCATCCTCTATCCATCCTCTACCTTTCCATTCATCTGTCCATTTATCCATCCATTCATCTACCTATCTATCCATCTGTCCATCATCCATCCATCCATTTATCTACCCATCTATCCATCCATCCATCCTCCACTTATCCATCCATCTGTCCATTTATCCATCCATCCATTCATCTACCTATCTATCTGTCCATCATCCATCCATCCATTTATCCATTCATCCATCCATTCATCCATCCATCCATCTATCCATCCATCCATCCATTTATCTACGTATCTATCCATCTGTCCATCCATCCATCCATCCATCCATCCATCCATCCATCCATCCATCTATCCATCCATCTGTCCATCCATCCATCCATCCATCCATCCATCTATCCATCCATCTGTCCATCCATTCATCTACCTATTCATCTATCTGTCCATCTTTCCATATCTGTCTCTCTGTCTCTCCATCTTTTCTTTTTTTTGTTTTTTTTGAGACAGAGTCTTGCTCTGTCACCAGGCTGGAGTGCAGTGGCACCATCTTGGCTCACTGCAACCTCTGCCTCCTGGGTTCAAGCGATTCTCCTGCCTCAGCCTCCCAAGCAGCTGGGACCACAGGTGCACGCCGCCATGCCCGGCTAATTTTTGTTTTTAATTTTTTTGTATTTTAGTAGAGGCGGGGTTTCACCATGTTGCCCAGGCTGGTCTCGAACTCCTGAGCTCAAGCAATTCACCCGCCTCGGCCTCCCAAAGTGCTAGGATTATAGGCATAAGCCACCGTGCCCAGCCCTATCTCTCCATCTTTTCATCCGTTTATCTTCTTATCTGTCCAGATGCCTATTTATCCATTCCTCCATCTCTAAACAATCATTCCTTCAGGCCTGTAATCCCAGCACTTTGGGAGGCCGAGGCGGGCGGATCACAAGGTCAGGAGATCGAGACCACGGTGAAACCCCGTCTCTACTAAAAATACAAAAAATTAGCCGGGCGCGGTTGTGGGCGCCTGTAATCCCAGCTACTCGGGAGGCTGAGGCAGGAGAATGGCGTGAACCCGGGAGGCGGAGCTTGCAGTGAGCCGAGATCGCGCCACTGCACTCCAGCCTGGGCGACAGAGCGAGACTCCCTCTCAAAAAACAAAAAAAAACAAAAAAAAACCAATCATTCCTGTAGCCATTTATCCATGCATTTATCTGTCCATTCATGCATCTATTAATTCTTCTCTACATTCATCCATGAATCTATCCACATATTCATCTACTCATATCGATCTCTCTATGCATTCGTACTTCCATACTTCCATTCACACATTCACGTGCATATACTTCTACCCATACTTGCATTGATCTACGCATCTATCTGTTCTGCCATTTCCCCATCTATATCCAGCTACTCATCCATTCACCCATCCCTGTGTCCATCTGCACCCATCCTTCTCTGTCCATTTATCTGTCTACCCACTCATGCATCCATCCACAGTAGGTGTTTTCTGAACATTATGTTCCTCAACTTAACACTCAGGCTCCCTAAAATCTGACCACAGCTCACCTCCCCAGCCGCGCTCACAGTCCTTCATTCGCACTCCACCAAAATACCTGTGACCAGTGAACCTGCTAGGGTCTCTCTTGAATACTCTGATTTTTTTGGCAGGAGGGCCTTTTTTTTTTTTTTTTTAGACAGAGTCTCACTCTGTTGCCCAGGCTGGAATGCAGTGGCAGGATGTTGGCTCACTGCAAACTGCATCTCCCGGATTCAAGTGATTCTCCTGCTTCAACCTCCCAAGTAACTGGGATTACAGGCTCCCACCACCATGCCCAGCTAATTTTTGTATTTTTAGTTGAGACGGGGTGTCACCGTGTTGACCAGGCTAGTCTTGAACTCCTGACCTCAAGTGATCCACCCACCTCAGCCTCCCAAAGTGCTGGGATTACAGGCATGAGCCACCGTGCCTGGCCACCAGGAGGGCTTTTATCCTGTTCTTTACCTGGGCTAAGTTCTGTTAGCCCAAGGGACATTCTTCATGACCCGACAGTGGGACTCCTTCCTCTAGCACCTTCCCTGGTTCCTCAAACTGAACTTCCTCTTTTCCGGGTTTTCATAGCACTTCAGACTCACCTGTTCTTCACACTGACCCCTAACTGCTGGTTAGAGTTGTCTTCCCAACTGACTCTGAACTTTGAAAGAAGAACCCTATTTTTTAAATATCTGCATTTCCTGCGTAACACAGCTAGTGTTCAGTAAAAGCTTATTTATTTATTTATTATTTTAAGACAGGTCTTGCTCTGTCACCCAGGCTGGAGTGCAGTGGCATAATCGCGGCTCACTGCAATCTCTGCCTCCCGGGTTCAAGTGATTTTGTGCCTCAGCCTCCTGAGTAGCTGGGACTATAGGTGCCCACCACCATGCTCGGCTAATTTTTTGTATTTTTAGTAGAGACAGGGTTTCACCATGTTGGCCAGGCTGGTCTCGAACTCCTGGCCTCAAGTGATCCACCCGCCTTGGCCTCCCAAAGTGCTGGGATTATAGGCATGAGGCACAGCACCCAGCCTCAAAGGCTTTCTTTTTAAAGAATCAATAATAATCATAATAGTTATCATTTACTGTACACTTATGTGCAGTCATTGTACTAAGTAGCTTTACACATACTATTACATTTAATTATCACAGTGACCCTATGGGTTGCATTATTATTATTATTATTATTTATTTATTTTTTTTTTTTGAGACGGAGTCTCGCTCTGTCGCCCAGCCCAGGCTGGAGTGCAGTGGCGCGATCTCGGCTCACTGCAAGCTCCGCCTCCCGGGTTCACGCCATTCTCCTGCCTCAGCCTCCCGAGTAGCTGGGGACTACAGGCGCCCACAACCGCGCCCGGCTAATTTTTTGTATTTTTAGTAGAGACGGGGTTTCACCATGGTCTCGATCTCCTGACCTTGTGATCCGCCCGCCTCGGCCTCCCAAAGTGCTGGGATTACAGGCGTGAGCCACCGCGCCCGGCCTGGGTTGCATTATTATAACATCGTGTTACAGATGAGGAAACTGAGGCTCAGAGAAGTAATAGAACTAGCTCAAGATTGCCCGCCTATTAAGAGGCAGAGCTGGGGCACAGCCCCAGGCCTGAAATCACAGCAGAATGCAGTCTTGTGCATGACACCATGCGAGGCACTAGGGGATACAGGGAAAGGGTAAAATGGTGACTCTGCGCGCCAGGAACTTGCATGCTGAGCAGAAAGACAAGAGAAGCATGTGCCAGAGATTGTGAGTGTCCAGAACACAAAGGTTGGGAGGTTTTCTCTCAGGAGCAGTCAGCCTTCAAGGCCGGGGAGTGTGGATAGTTGGATAGAAGGCCTTATTGTCACCAGATCTGAAAATCTCAGGTCTCCCTGTATCCAGGTAGTGCCCACCACAGATGATAGCCTTGCTCTTGAAAGCCTGGCATCCCCCATTCATCCTACGAAGATGCATTGTAAATCTGCTGTGTGCTAAGATCTGGTCTCTGCCTCAAAGAACCCAAGCCCAGCAAGAAAACCAGAGAAAACAATAGCATAATCCATGTGTGCTGGGAGAAACACAGGGGGCTGCGATAGAGGGGGCACCTGTGCCAGGCTGCAGAGAGGGATTAGGGAAGACTTCCTGGAGGAGGTTATAAACAATCAGAGCCCCCCAAAATGAGAAGAGCCATCAGGTGAGAGGGAAGGGCAGGTATTTACCCAAATGAGTTGAAAACCTATATCCACACAAGTCTGTACGTAGATGCTTATAGCAGCTTTATTCATAATTGTCCAAACTTGGAAACAACCAAGGTGTCCTTTCAGTAAGTGACGGATAAATAAACTGTGGTACATCCAGACAATGGGATATTGCTCAGTGCTAAAAAGAGATGAGCTAGGCCGGGTGCGGTGGCTCATGCCTGGAATCTCAGCACTATGGGAGGCCGAGGTGGGCAGATCACTTGATGCCAGGAGTTTGAGACCAGCCTGACCAACATGGTGAAACCCTGTCTCTATTAAAAATACAAAAAAAATTAGCTGGGTGCGGTGGCACGCACCTGTAATCCCAGCTACTTGGGAGGCTGAGACACAGAATCACTTGAACCTGGGAGGCAGAGGTTATAGTAAGCTGAGATGGCACCACTGCACTCCAGCCTGGGCGACAGAGCAAGGCTCTGTCTCAAAAAAAAAAAAAAAAAAGAGAGAGAGAGAGAGAGAGAGAGAGATGAGCTATCTAGCCATGAAAAGATGTGGTGAAGAGGGGACACAAATGCATATTACTAAGTGAAAAACCAATCTGAAAACACTGCATACTATATGATTTCGTCTATATGCCATTCTGGAAAAGGCAAAACTATGGAGTCAGTAAAAAGAACAGTGGTTGCAAGGGGTTAGAGGGAGGGAGGGATGAATAGGCAGAGCAGAGAGGATTTTTAGGGCAGTGCAACTATTCTGTATGAGGCCAGGTACAGTGGCTCATGCCTGTAATCCTAGCATTTTGGGAGGCCGAGGCAGGAGGATCACTTGAGGTCAGGAGTTTGAGACCAGCTTGGGCAACATGGCAAAACCCTGTCTTTACTAAATACACAAAAACAAAATTAGCCAAGCGTGGTGGCGTATGCCTGTAGCCCCAGCTACCTGGAGAGTTGAGGCGGCAGGATTGCTTGAGCCTGGGAGGTCGAGGCTATAGTGAGCCGAGATTGTGCCACTGTACTCCAGCCTGGGTGACAAAGTGAGACCCTGTCTCAAAAATAAATAAAAAGAAAAAGAAACGATTCTGTAAGATACAACAGCAGAGGATGCATGTCATTATACGTTTGTCCGAACTCATAGAATGTGCATCGCCAGCAGTGAACCCTGATGTAAACTGTGGTCTCCGGGTGATAGCGATGTGCCGGCGTAGGTCGCTCAGTTATAACAAATGCACCCTCTGTGTGGAATGTGGTCGGGGTGGGAGGCTATGTATATGTGGAGACAGGGGTTGCAGACAAAAATCTCCATACTTTCTACTCCATTTGGCTGTAAACCTAAAATTGCCCTTAAAAAGAGAGGCAGGCGCGGTGGCTCACGCCTGTAATCCCAGCACCTTGGGAGGCCAAGGCGGGCGGATCATGAGGTCAGGAGATCGAGACCATCCTGGCTAACACGGTGAAACCCCGTCTCTACTAAAAATACAAAAAATTAGCCGGGCGTGGTGGCGGGCGCCTGTAGTCCCAGCTACTCGGCAGGCTGAGGCAGGAGAATGGCGTGAACCCAGAAGGCGGAGCTTGCAGTGAGCCGAGATCGCGCCACTGCACTCCAGCCTGGGCAACAGAGCAAGACTCCATCTCAAAAAAAAAAAAAAAAAAAAAAAGAGAAAGAGAGAGAGAGAGAAAGGGCTGAGCACGGTGGCCACACCTGTCATCCCAGCACTTTGGGAGGCCAAGGCAGGAGGATTTCTAGAGCCCTGGAGTTTGACGTTACAGTGAGCTATAATCATGCCACTGCGCTCCAGCCTGGGCGACAGGCGACACTCTGTCTCTACATTTAAAAAAAAAAGAAGAAGAAGAAGAAGAAGAAGGGAGGGGGTACAAGTTGGGCTTTCAGAAAAGCTGAGAGGAGACCAGCCTGGCCAACATGGTGAAACCCTGTCTCTACTAAAAGTACAAAAATTAGCCCAATGTGGTAGTGCACAGCTGTAGTCCCAGCTACTCCGGAGGCTGAGGCAGGAGCATCGCTTGAACCCAGGAGGTGGAGGCTTAAGTGAGCTGAGATTGCATCACTGCACTCCAGCCTGGGTGACAGAGTGAGACTCCATCTCAAAAAAAAAAAAAAAAAAAAAAAAAAATGCTGAGAGGTGAGAGAGAGAGAGCGAGCGAGCCAGCTGCATTGAGGGGCCGAAAAGATCTGCGTAGTTGGAGCACATAGGTTGGGAGTTAGCCCGAGAGATATGGCTGGAGATGTCAGCTAGGGCCAGATCAGGGAGGGCCATGAGGCTGTCAGGAGATTGGAGATTTTCCAGTGGAGAGCCGTGGGACGTTTCCGCAGGGGTCAGATCCGCACATTCGAACCCTCTAGCTGGCTGCTGTGTGGATGGATTGGAGGGGGCGGAATGGATGGGGGACCAGCACAGAGTTGGGGCAGTGGCAATGGGGAGGGGTCTGAAGGCAGCACCCTGGGGAGGCCTTTGGCTGCTGCTTGCTCCCCAGCTGCTCCTCTACCCTTCCAGAGTTTGTCCGGATGATGTCCCGCTGAGGCCGCGGGGGCCCCTCCAGGACTGCCAAGCTCCCAATGGCGGGGCGAAGAGGAGCCAGAGCTTGCCTCACCCGCCGTAGCCGCCGAGAGCCCAGGATGTATTGGCGGATGGGGCCTGCCTGCACCCCGGGGAGGCGCCCACCCCGGACCCCCACCCCTCCGCACTGTGAAAGACTCACTCCTGCAACTGGAAAGCGGGGGCGCCCGCCGACGAGGAGGCCACCGTGCCAAGCCGGCAGAGGTCATGCCAGGCGCCAAGGGCCATGTGCCCAGCTGCTGCTGGCTGGGTGGGCCAGGGAGCCCGCCAGCAGATCCCACACAGCATGTCCGCCCCAGGGCAAAGCCTCCCACCTTCGCTCTGCGCCCCTCCCAGCTCGCCTCAGCCCTGTTATCTCAGAACCAATAAAAATATTTCCAAGAGCAAGACGGCTGTGATGGTCTTTCCTCCTTGGGCCTGGTTAGATGACCCTCATGTTTCCTGAGCACCAACTGCATACCCAGAACCAGCTGTCCTGAGCACCAACTGCATACCCAGAACCAGCTGAGCATTTCTGCATTTGGCATTTTCTATTTGTTTGTTTATTTCAAAACGAAGTCAGATGAGGGTTCTTTTGACCTTCCTGTGTTTTCTGTTTTGAGACAGGGTTTAGCTCTGTCACCTGGGCTGGAGTGCAGTGGCGTGATCTCGGCTCACTGTAACCTCCACTTCCCAGGTTCAAGCGATTCTCCTGCCTCAGCCTCCCAAGCAGCTGGGATTACAGGCGCCCGCCACCATGCCTGGCTAATTTTTGTATTTTTAGTAGAAATGGGGTTTCACCATGTTGGGCAGGCTGGTCTCAAACTCCTGACCTCAAGTGATCTGCCCGCCTTGGCCTCCCAAAGTGCTGGGATTCCAGGCATGAGTCTTCTTGCCTGGTCAACATACATTTATTGAGTACCTATTATGTACTCGGTGACTTCCATTCTCATCCTTGGGCCAGAACCTGGGACTGCTAAGGGAGACTGAAGAATGTAGTCAGTTATTTAGCTGGGTACTCAGCTTCCCCAAACAAAATCAGGTTCTATAAGAAGAGAAGCATCCAGCAGGGTCTGTATCACTTCTGACTTTCCGTAACTTCCATACTGGTTGGAGAGACAGACATGAGAGAAACACATCATATAGGATTACAAATTGGGATACTGCTATTAAGTAAAAATATAGGGACCTTTGGCAGGCCTGGCCTCCTCTAGGGAGGTCAGAAAAGGCTTGGCTAAGGAAGTGAAGACAAGGGTTTTGCCCTGGAGGAAATCCCAGTGTGTGCGGACAGACAGATATAGACACAGCTACCATTGGCCAGGCGCGGTGGCTCACGCCTGTAATCCCAGAACTTTGGGAGGCCGAGGCGGGAGGATCACTTGAGTTCAGGAGTTCAAGACCAACCCGGCCAAATGGTAAAACCGTGTCTCTACAAAATAGAAAAATTAGCCGGGCATGGTGGCACGTGCCTGGAGTCCCAGCTACTTGGGAGGCTGAGTCAGGAGAATCGCTTGAACCCAGGAGGTGGAGGCTGCAGTGAGCCAAGATCACGCCAGTGGGTGACAGAGCGAGACTCTGTCTAAAAAAAGAAAGAAAGAGCTGCCACCCTCTCTGCTGTGTGGGAAGATGTGTAGCCAATAGGCCCAGGGTTTGCTTGCTGTGTGACTTAGGGCCGGTTGCATCTCCTCTCTGAACCTCAGTTTCCTTACGTGTAATGTGGGGATGATAAAGGATGGGGTCAGTGCATAGCAAATGCCCTCAGGGCATTGCATGGCATCGCACACCCCAGGGACTGCTATTCAGACTGCAGTGGAATCATGCCATTGAAAAGACCCATTGTAATTCATTTCTATAAGCGAAGTCTTAAAGGAGCCCAAAGGAGAAATTTGTGGTTAGAAGTTGTTCAGAGTCTTAGACAGGCTTGGGGCACACTTGGGCAGGTGTGTGGGGTGGCCGGTGTACCTCAAGCCATTGGTTCCCAAACCTTAGCATACAGCAGAATCGCCTGGAGCATTTGTGAAGCCCAGATCTGGGCCACCCCCGCAGTGATTCTGATCCTATGTCTGGGGTGCAGTCCATGAATGTGCATTTCTTACAAGTTCCCAGAGGATGCTGATGCTGCCAGTCCGTGGACAACAAGCTGAACAGCACTGCTGTAAATCCTAGACACAAGGGAGGCTGGTGTGCCTCCAGGCAGCCAGGGGAGGCTGCGGGGCTGACGGCTGGGGGTGGGAGGTGGGCAGAGCATCTCCTGCCCCCTGTGCTGCCGCAGAGGGACGATGCATATTCTCAGACCTGGCAGGGAATGTGGAGGATCGTGGGCCCCAGTCAGAGGCCCGGGTAATCCTCATGTCCCCGAGGTCAGTGGGGCTGGGAGCTCCAAATTCACTTTAATAATCCAATTCTGAGACTAAGCCCTTGGCTCTGTGCCCTGCTAGGCAGGCCTGCAGCCCTGCCTGCCTCTGTACTAGCTTGGCTCTGACCAGAGACTCCAGAGTTTCACTGTTTCAGAAACACAGTGGACTTGTAGGGCAATTTGCAGGAAGAGGGCTTCTGTAGACATCTCTATCAGCTGGCAGGGTGAGCCTCCAGGAGCACCACTCAGGATAGACTTAGGGATAAACTAGGACTCCTTTGTCCCCACTGTGTGGCTGCCTAAAATCAAAGACGTGGGAAGCCTGGCCAACATGGTGAAACCCCGTTGGTACTAAAAATACAAAAATTAGCCAGGCGTAGTGGTGCCTGACTGTAATCTCAGCTATTAGGGAGTTTGAGGCAAGAGAAATGCTTGAACACGGGAGGCAGAGGTTGCAGTGAACCGAGATCACACCACTTCACCCTAGCCTGGGCGACACAGTGAGACTCTGTCTAAAAAATAATAATAAAATCATAGATATGCCAGTTGTGATAAAGGAAGTGGAGAATGTAGCCAAGCTACTGTCCAAAGGCCCCTTCACGCTCAGGGTAGGGGGACCCAGGGCAGGCCTCCTGCCTTCTCCCATGCTGAAGCCAGGACTCCTCCCCATTAATTTGTCTTTTTGTTGGTTTGTTCATTTTAAAATTATTTTTGTTTGCTTTTGTTTTTTGTTTTGGCTCCCGCCAGGAAACAATCTTTTGTTTGTTTGCTTTGCTTTGTTTCTTTGTTTATTTGAGAGACAGGGTTTCACTCTGGCATCTAGGCTGGAGTACAGTGGTGGGATCATAGCTCACTGCAGGCTTGAACTCCTTGGCTCAAGCGATCCTCCTGCCACAGCCTCCTGCATAACTAGGACTACAGAGACACACCAGCTGATTTTTACATTTTTTTGTAGAGACAGGATCTCAATCTCTTGTCCAGGCTGGTCTTGAACTCCTGGCCTCAAGGGATCCTTCCACCTCAGCTTCCCAAAGTGGTGGGATTACAGGTGTGAGCCACAGTGCCCAGCAACTTGTCTTATATGTGGGGGTTCCTAGCATGATTGTTTGAAGAAAGGGCTCTGAGACTTTTCCAGGACTGAGATGTACTTTCCTAGGCAGGAGTTCTTTCTGCAACCTGCACCAACACCTTCCCTGGAGGGAGCTCTGCGTGTGTCATCTTAGAAAAGCTCTTTGTCTAAGGCCGAGCGAGGTGGCTCACGCCTGTAATCCCAGCACTTTGGGAGGCCGAGGTGGGTGGATCACTTAAGGTCATGAGTTCGAGACCATCCTGGCCAACATGGTGAAACTCCCTCTCTACTAAAAATGCAAAAATTAGCCAGATGTGGCGGTGCATGCCTGTAATCCCAGCTACACAGGAGACTGAGGGACGAGAATCACTTGAACCCAGGAGGCAGAGGTTGCAGTGAGCGGAGATTGCACCACTGTACTCAGCCTGGGTGACAGAGTGAGATTTTGTCTCAAAACAAAAAGCAAAAAAACCAGCTCTTCCATTGTGCCTGGGTTTGCCTCCTGGGTTTGCCTCCTGCTGACTCATAAAGGCCAATTTGTCTGCTCGTTCATGCACACACGCACTTGATGTTTATTGAGCTCCTACTGTGTGCCAGGCCCCATGCAAGACTTCCTATCCTCAAGGAGTTCAGACTCTAGCAGGGGAAATAGATCAGAAACCAGACAAATATAATCTAGTGGCCTAAGTGCTACTTATTAGTAGTACCCACTAGGTTAGCCTAGAGCCCCGGAGGTACATAAAAGGCACCCAATTCAATCTGGTGCCTGGTGTGGGGAGGAATGGACAGATCTACTAGGACCTCAAGGATCAGCAGTGCTTAGTTAGGAGAGGTGGGCAGGTGGGGTGGGCATGGTGGCTCACGCCTGTAGTCCCAGCACTTCGGGAGGCCAAGGTGGGCAGATCACTTGAGGTCAGGAGTTCGAGACCAGCCTGGCCAAATGGTGAAACACCATTTCTACTAAAAATACAAAAATTAGCCAGGCATGGTGGTGCACGCCTGCATTCCCAGCTACTCGCCAGGCTGAGGCAGGAGAATCACTTGAGCCTGGGAGGCAGAGGTTGCAGTGAGCCGAGATTGCGCCACTGCGCTCCAGCCTGGGAAACAGAACAAGACTCTGTCTCAAAAAAAAAAAAAAAAAAAAAAAATGAAGAAGTGGTGGTCAGGGGCACAATTTCTAGTCTGGGAACAGCATATGCAAAGGCCCTCAGGTAAGGGAGAGTGTGGCCCTTTTGGGAAACTAAGTGGAATTTTGTCTAACTGACGTACTAGGTTGGAGAAAGGAGCAGAGAGAGGTGACGCTCAACAGAGAGGCAGGCCCCCATCCCTCCACAGACCTTGGAGTGTGAGAGGCTCAGATGGGAACTCTGAGGGGCTGCCTTCTGGCATTAGCCAGGCCCACGGCCACAGAAGCGCTGGAGCTATGAAGGGCTCATCTTTGGGGACAAATCTGTCCAGAAGATAGAAGAAAACCCAGGCAGCTGAGGGTAGCCGGGAGGTGTCCCCATAGCAGTGTGGTTAAAAGCATTAGCTGCGATCAAAAAGCAGAGCCAGGCTGGGTGCAGTGGATTGCGCCTGTAATCCCAGTGCTTTAGGAGGCTGTGGTGGGAGGATCACTTGAAGCCAGGGGTTCAAGACCAGCTTGGGCAACGCAGAGAGACCTCATCTCCACAAACAATTTTAAAAATTAGCCAGGTGTGGTCGCACCTATAGTCCCAGCTACTTGGGAGGCTGAGGTGGGAGAACTGCTTGAGCCCAGGAGTTCGAGTCTGCAGTGAGCTATGATCATGCCACTGTAGTCGCCACTGTAGTCCAGCCTGGACAACTGAGCAAGACTCCATCTCAAAAACAAACAAACAAAAATACCAGAAAGCCAGACATTAGATACCACAGATGAGAGAACACACCACCAACCCCTGGGGTTGCTGAAGGGATCAAATCTGAATCTGATCATGCCTTGAGATCCAGCTGACAATTTGCAAA